CTACTACATTTTTTAATTTCTTGGGTTTAGATAAAAAAACTACTGAAATTACTAATTCAATCCTGAAAATTAAAAGAAAACAAAACATATAAAAATGAAATAAAACCAATGAAAACCCACAGTAACTCAAAATTAAAGGAAGAAATTTGTAACATTTTTAGCTTAAAATATCAACGTTTAGAGTGACACTTGCCTCTCCATCACATGCCCCAGAAAGGACAGTAGCCAGGCTCTTTGGGTGCTTTGCCAAGCAATTGACTCCATCTCGGTGACCATCCAGAGAAGCAAGGAATGGCTTTGCAAATACCCGTTCCAGTTTGGTAGCATTTAAAGCTCTTACGTATTCTCGTGGGACCTCAAAAGGATGTAAGGTAGGATCATAGTTTCTTGGAACTGAAATAAGAATGATTCCTCTTAATAAAACAAATCACATTTAATATTTCCGTGATCTTCCTCAGCTAAGCATTCAATTTTTTATGCAATAAGCCATTGTTAGGGACACTGTTCTATGTCTAGCACTGTGAAGAATACAAAAGTGGAAGACCTTTTGTCCAGAAACCTTTCCAAAATTGCCAAAAAATCATGGAATGCATTTTTTTTGCAAAATAATTACACCCCATATATACACATAATTTTCCCTTTTATATGTCCTAGTACACCTTCAACTGGTTGTAAGCTTTCAGGGGCAGGACTTCCACTACATCCTTCAATTGTACTCTTCACCTGTACGCACAAAACAAGTGCATGATAAATGTTTTCCCGACTGAACGCTAAGCAACTTGTGGGGCAGGGAACATTATTAATCTCCAGTGCTAATCACTGTAGTGTCAGGCATACACTGTTGAGATTATGATTATAGCTATTTATTGAGCAGTTTCCATGTTTGTTTCCCATGTGTCAGGCACTGTTGCAAATACCTTATATTAACTCATTTAATCTCCACAACACCCTATGGATTAGGTTCTATTACTATTTCCCACTTTATATATAGACTAGAGGCTTGGTGCACAAAATTCATGCACTGGAGGGTGGGGGTCCCTCAGCCTAGCCCTCCCCCTCTCACAGTCCGGGAGCCCTCAGTGGATGTCCTACTGATGGCCTAAGCCACAGTCTGGCAGCAGAGGCTCAGACCTCAGCCATATCACGGAGGCTTGGAGCAGGTGCCCCTCTGTGTTGATCTCTCAGGCTCCTGGCCATGCCTGCGTGTTGTTCTCTCCCTTGAGTGGCAGCCAGGGCAGGTGGGAAGCCTGGCTTCCTCCATCGCCGGGGCAACCCAAGCCTCCAGCTCCGTGGCCGCCGCCATCTTTGTTGGGTTAATTTGTATACTCGCCCTGATTGGCTGGTAGGTGTAGCGGAGTGACACCAATTTGCATGTTTCTCTTTTATTAGTGTAGATGGAGAAACTGAGGCACAGAGAGATCACTTGCCTATGAAGTGATGGAGTCAGGATTCAAACCAAGGAAGTCTGGCTCCAGACTCAATGTTCTTAACTATTGTGCTATGCTGCCAAACAGGCTGTTTCAGTTAATAATTATGCTTAGGAAATCATTTGAAGCCCACAGGTCTAAAAAACCCTCAGTGTCTAAAGTAGATGTATCTTTGGGAGGGGGGAGGGAGTGAGGGAGAGGGGCAGAGGATGAGGGAAAAGAGGAGGGGGAGACAGAGAGAAAGAGAGAGAGATGAGAAGCATCCATCAGTTGCCTCCCACATGCAACCACACCAGGGATCAAACCTGCAATTTGGTTGTGTGCCCTGACCAGGAATCGAACCTTCTGGTGCATGGAACAATGTTCCAACCTACTGCGCCACACTGGCCAAGGCTGCTGTCACTTCTTTTTGACTCCCTGATAATAATGGTCTGTGGAAAAACACAGAGATTCTACACAAGATAAACCCACAGGGTGATTTGGTCATAAATTCCCAAATGGGCAGGACATGGTGTGTAGTCACACCCCAGACATAACTTCTTTAGTAAAAGGTTCGTCTTTGCCTTAAGCAAGCCCAGTCCACTGCTTCTGTGCATCTAGGTTAACAAACCTTTGAAATAAGCATAAACTACCATCAAGAGAGCGCAAAATCTTGTTCAAACTCATAAAAGAAACTGCAAAACTGTCATTCTCCAGAGCATCTGAAATTTTGCTTCCTGGCAATTGCCAGTTTGGCTCAAATAAATTCTTATAAAAATTCTCTACAGGTGTGGAAGTTTCTTACATCACCAGTGCTGATCCCAACATTCAATCAGGCTTAAAGATCAGTCATTCTTACGTATTCCGTCTTCCACATTCGAAGATGAAATTTGCCAAAAAAGTCCTACTCAAACTCTCTTGGAAATACTTCTTATTCATTCTTCCCTCTCTTTTCCTACCTCTAGTAACTAAGTTTTGGCCCTTATTACTTTATACTTGAACTACTATAATATCATCTCGACTCTATTTGGTGGCAGTTTACACTATCGCCAGATTTATCATTTTAAAACACGGCCTTTACATGTTGCTCCCATGCTCAAAACTTTCAAAGCTCCCCACAGTGGTAGTCTTCAAACTCATTAGTAACAGAGTTTTTAAGCAGATCTCTCCCCCTCAACCATATACACTGAGTGGCCAGATTATTATGACCAGCCAGATTATTATGACCACCCCCTCAGTACAATGAAGTGAATTAGTTATGCGAATAATAATAATAATAAAACCTTGAGAGTATTTGCTTAGCAAGTTTTCAATATTCAGTATTTTTGGAAGTGTCAATGAAGTACTGATGGGTTGGTCATAATAATCTGGCCACTCAGTGTATATGTATACTAGAGGCCCGGTGCACAAAATTCATGCATGGGGGTAGGGAGGAGGTCCCTCAGCCCGGCCTGCACCCTCTCCAATCTGGGACCCCTGCCTGCCTGATCGCACCTAACTGCCTCTGCCTGCCAGCCTGATCCTCCTAACTGCTCTCCCCCCCGGATGGCCTGATCCCCCTAACTGCTCTCTGCTGCCGGACTGATCCCCCTATCTGCTCTCCCCTGCCGACCTGATCCTCCTAACTGCTCTCCACTGCCCACTCCAAGTCAATGAATAAAAATACTCAAATAAGGATATGGATGCTGCACAAAATTTGCAAGGAAATAACAGCTAAACAAGAATGAAAGGATAAAGAAAGGTAACAAATGTCTTCCTTATGTTTTACAGAGCCAATACATTTATTTTTCCATTTTTCTGTTAACACTTTCATCATGAAGTATAAAAAAATAGGAAGATATATCCTATCCTATATAATAAAAGCCTAATATGCTAAGTGTCCAGTTGTCTGTTCAACCAATCAAAGCGTAATATGCTAATGATATGCTAAGGCCGCTCAACCACTTGCTCTGACATGCACTGACCACCAGGGGGCAGGCAGTTGACCGGTCAACCAGTTACTATGACGTGCACGGACCACCAGAGGGGCAGAAGCTCTGACCACTAGGTTAGCTTGTGGCTGAGGTCCAGCCAATCAGGACTGAGTGAGATGGGCTGGACACACCCTGGAACCCTCCCACAGTCCCTCCCCGGCCCTGATTGTGCACCGCTGGGGTCCCTTGGCCTGGCTGAAGGGCACCCCCTCCACCACGTGCACCAATTTCGTGCACCAGGCCTCTAGTAGAAAATAAGTAAGAACTTCAACAACAAGATCAGATAACTAATCACCTCCTAACACTGAGATTCCATGACTAGCCAGTCATTCACTCATTCCTGCATTAAGATAATACCTAAAATGCACTCAGACTGGTAAGTAAGAGTAAATATAAACTACTTGTGAGAAAGGCAAAAGTAGAGAGAAAGATGAAACCAGGTTCAAGAAATGGAGACGATGTCAAATCCAAGTGACATACCCTAATGCAAATCCAAAACATTCCCGTCTTGTTCCTTAACCTGTAAGCACCTTGTGAATATTTACTTCTTAGCAATGCTCATATGTATACTGATAGCCTCTATCTCATTACTCAACCAAAATAATGAAATAGTGCTCCAGCCTCAATTTCCATCACTTCTCCCTTACACAAACTCTGATGACATGACCCCCAAGTTCATGTTTGCCTGAAGGCCTTTGAACTTACTATCTTCACTTACAATAGTCTGTTGACATTTGGTTGGCCCCTTGTCACTTAGCTATCATGAGCAACAATATAATTCATAAGCAGTCAGCATGTTAATGGGGGAAGAGCCCAGGACGGATAAACAAAAACTCATTAATTTCATTAACCATTTCCAATTCCAGGAGCTGTTCCTGAGAGAAAACGGATGGCTTTGTTTCACCTGTATCTCTTCCTACATCCAGACGTAGGTAATTTTCAGTAACAAAGTGGCCAGGAGTTAGAGCAGCAGTAAGGTTTGAAGAAACCTTAATTTAATTGTTAAATCCTTCAATCCACGACTGTGGCTCATTCAAGCTGCACTTTCCAACAGCTGGAACCTGAGAACCATCTTGGAGCCGCACTGGGGGGGTGGGGGGGGCGGGGGTAGGAGAGGAGCGGAAGCATTCTTCAAGGAGCTAACTTTCGCACTGACCACAGGCCAAGTTCTTTTAAAAAGGACTTCAGGAGAGTTAACTGCTGCCCAGTCCCGCCAATGCCCGATCGGTAAAGAGTCGCCTTGGCGAAAGCGGGGCAGGGAGAGAAAGAGACCACAGCGCCGGGCTCCCCGCCAGCCCTCCTCCGTGGAAGCGAGGCCACACTCAGGCCGCGTGCTCCCTGCGAACCGGGCTCACCTCTCTGTAAGTCCAACTTGGTTTCGCGGACGTAGTTGTCCGGGTTCCGGCTCAGCATCTTTACCTTCATCTTGGCTGCCGGGGGCTCGCCCACTCCACGAGCCTTTCCCCTCCGGGTTCCGGGTACCGCCCCCTCCCCTAGCACATGCTACTTCCGCTTCTTCTCGACGACTTCCGGTCACGTGACTCCCGCAGCTCGGACTCCGCCTCCCGGGCTGGGCCCCGCGGCGCTCCGTAGCTCCCCACAGAGGTGGGTCCGGGGCGGTGCTGAGCGCTCCGGTCCGCGTCCTTCAGCCCCGACTGGCAGCCGCTGTGGGCGAGGCGGGGCGGGGACTCGCCCGAGGCGGAACCCCACCTCCCGCGCGCTCTCCCCCGGCGCGACTCGCGGCTGCGGCCCTGTCATGCCCCTGTTGCTGCCCGGTCCCTCGGCTTCGTGCGTCCGCGTCCGCGCGCCGGTCCCGGAAGTGGGCTAGCACCCCGCTGTTCCCGCTTCTCGAGGGGAGGGGCCCGTCGCCACGGTGGCGGCCACCGCATCGCGTCCCACCTCGGCGGCCCTGGGCGCCGTGGTATCTGCAGGCCCCGAGCCAATGGCGGGCCAGGACCAGCCGGCGCCCGGGTCGTCGGTGTTGAGCACGGTGTTCCGCCACGTCCGGTACGAGAACCTGGTGGCGGGTGTGAGCGGCGGGGTCCTGTCCAACCTCGCGCTGCACCCGCTGGACCTGGTGAAGATACGCTTCGCCGGTAAGACCCCGCGCTGACCCCGGGCTCCTCATCCTCGTTGTCGCCCCCAAACGGGATGAAAAGGGCGCAGGAGGGAGGCCCGGGTCCCCCCTGCGCCTTCCGGACGAAGAGGCGAGCGTTGAAGCTGCGCTCGGTCCGGGCTCAGCGGGGACTAGAGTGGAAGCCGGGGGCCTGGTGAAGAGATGCGGCCGTCGCCGGGGTCCCCCGAGAGTCAGGGGTGGGGGGAAGCGCAGGTGGAAAAGCCAGAGGCAGGTCCCCACCGGTGCACAAGGTGGGACTCCACGCCTGGTTTGTAAAATGAAGGGGTTGGCACGTTACGGGCACAGCCCTCCACTCGGGCAGAACCTTCGCGGGGGACGGTGCTTCGGGAGCACAAGGCAGCCACGTGCGTGGCGGCCCCGCGGAGAGCAGGATGCAGGTGCGTGGTGCGCGCTCACCTCCAGCAGGTAGGAGGCGGCAGAGTTTTCTTAAAGGTTGGTTTTTTTATCGCTTAGCAGTGGTTCTCAACCTTCCTAATGCTGCGACCCTTTAATACAGTTCCTCGTGTTGTGGTGACCCCCAACCATAAAATTATTTTCGTGGCGACTTCATAACTGTAATGTTGCTACTGTTATGAATCTTAATGTAAATATCTGAGATGCAGGACGTATTTTCATTGTTACAAATTGAACATAATGAAAGCATCGTGGTTCATCACAAAAACAATATGTAATTATCTATGTGTTTTCCGCTGGTCTTAGGCGACCCCTGTGAAAGGGTCGTGGGACCCCCCAAAGGGGTCGCGACCCACAGGTTGAGAACCGCTGGCCTATAGTCTGGTGCAAGGTCCACACTATAGGTAAGGAGTAGGTGGGTAGAATCCAAGTGCTCTTTTCTTAATCCTCAGGGGAGGCTGTGTTTATTGATTTTAGATAGAGAGGGCGGGGGAGGAGGAAACACCCACGCGAGAGAGAAACGGGATTGTTCTTCCCTCTAAAAGGGAGGCCTCGCGGGAGGGCGGGAAGAGTCCAGAGCCTACTCGCCGAGTCCCTAGGTACAGGATAGTAGTGATGTGTTTTGAGGGGGTTTCTGGTTAGGATGACATGTCCAGCACCCAGTCAGGCTTTCCCCTGCCACTGTGGTTGTGGGGCGTCCACTGGGGCATTGTCACCCCTTCGGAGGGGAGATGCTACTAGAAGGGGCTCAGGGCTTTGGGTTTGCATCGTAAAAGAGGAGGTCTCTAGGTATAAGTGGATTTCCTGGTATGTGTAATCCTGGAAATCTCCTTGAAGAAATGTGTCCCACACTAGGGTGCAGATGAGAGCTTGCTTGTTCTTTGGTTAAATTGTTGAGTGATTCTGGAGGGCAGTTCTGAAGGTCCTGTAACATAGGGTCGAGGAACTCTCCTGCCCTGGTTTCCATGAGGCTTCAGGAGATTAGTTAGAAGGTAGAGCCGGTCCCAGCAGGGGCAGAAAAGGGATCCCCTGGGAATTATTTTAGGACTAGAGGCCCCATGCAGGAAATTCGTGCAAGGGTAGGCCTTCCCTTGACTTCCCGCACCTGGGCTTCCCATGGCTGCTGGCAGCCGGCCCCGCCCCCCACCCGCACCTGCCTTGGCCTGGTCCGCCCCCCGCCACCCGCCTTTCCCCCTCAATTAATCGCTCTGCCGCTGGTGGCCTGGGCCTCCCTCTGTGGGGTGATCGTGGGGCGATGGCAGGCCCCGACCAATTGTATCGCACCCACCTTGGCCGGCCTGGTGCCAGTGCGTGTCATAGTGTGGTGACCCGGATGGTCGTTCTGCTGTTCGGCTGTTCAGTCATATTATGTTTTGCATATTATGTTTTTATTATAGAAGGTTACGGCGACACTCAGAAAGATAGAATAAGAACTACTAGGAAGATGAAGCGGTGATTTAAGCAGAGGTACCAGAACGTGAGCTCCTCTGGTGAATTTTGTCTGTTTTGTTGGGTGCCCTTGTCTCAGCCGAGAGATTTTGATCGTTGTCTCTCCTGTTCTTGTGCAGGAGTATTCTTCGGTGGGGGGTCTGCTTTCTCGGTTCTGGACGTTGTGCTCTCTCAGGGTCCTGGTCTCCACTGGGGCTTAGTAGATAGAGTTTCCCCTGGGGACTGAAGGGTCCCTGGTTTGATTCCGGTCAAGGGCACATGCCTGGGTGGTAGGCTTGATTCCCAGTAGCGGGTGTGCAGGAGGCAGCTAATCAATGATTCTCATCATTGATGTTTTTCTCTCCCTTCCTCTCTGAAATCCATAAAAAAATATATTTTAAGATATATAGATTGCTGATAGCCATATGTATCTGTATCTGCAAAGGTCCCATTAGATCTTAAGGTTCCTCTAGAACAACGGTTCTCAGCTGTGGGTCGCGACCCTTTGGGAGTCGAACGACCCTTTCACAGGGATTGCCTAAGACCATCGGAAAACACATATAATTACATATTGTTTTTGTGATTAATCACTATGCTTTAACTATGTTCAATTTGTAACAATGAAAATACATCCTGCATATCAGATATTTACATTACGATTCATAACAGTAGCAAAATGACAGTTATGAAGTAGCAACGAAAATAATTTTATGGCTGGGGGTCACCACAACACGAGGAACTGTATTAAAGGGTCGCGGCATTAGGAAGGTTGAGAACCACTGCTCTAGCAGGACTAATATTTTGAAAGTTGGGCAGGAAGTAAGGAGCCATTCTATGAAGGAAAAATCAGTGAAAATTATGGAGTATTATCCTTTGGAGAAAACCCACAGAGGCATATGATTCCCACGGAGTATATGAGGCACGCACAAGTAAATTACGACATAGCATTCATTGAGCAATTTACTAGGAGCAGGACAGTGAACTGTGCATTATCTCATTGATTGCTCTGAACAACCCTGGGAATTTATTTCTACATTATACAGATGAGGATAATAGAAGTTGACCAACTTGCCCAAGCCACAAGTGTGTAAAGATAGAGCTGTGGTTTGAACCCAGGCAGTGTAATCTAAAACCCTCTGGCACTTAACCACTCACCGTACTACTACATCTAGGAATCCCTGGTACTCAGTGGCTTGTACATGAAGATAAGAATTTTGGATTTGGCTAAGGCCGCTGGCCTATCTGACTTGGTGTCTACTGCAAATTTTTGTCTAGTAACAGGAGAGATGTCAGTGGAGATAATGATTGAGGAATGGTGTGGTTTGCCTAGTGAGTTTAAGAGTGTGTGATGAGCATTCCATGCCTGAGGAAAGGGAATTCTTGGACCTGAGAAGATTGGTAATCTTGATGAAATGGGGAGAGTAGTAGGAGACCAGTAGGGCTGAGGTGACAGATAAGGGCATTGAAATTGGGTGGGAGGACAAAATTAAAGACCTAGGACAGTGGTCAGCAAACTCATTAGTCAACAGAGCCAACGATTGAAATTTCTTTTGAGAGCCAGATTTTTTAAACTTAAACTACATTGTTATTAACCTACCTATATAGTTTAAGTACTGTTGATATTTGGCGCCTCTCCCCGCGCTGCCTACCCCGTGGCCCGCCTGCGCCGTGTCTCCTGTCCCCACTTCTTCGAACGCCACTTCTTCAAAATAGACTCGCTCAGGCCGAAAACCGACCTCTGCAAATGGGCCACGAAGTTTCAATCGCACTGTACGTGCGCACCTGCACGTGGTATTTTGTGGAAGAGCCACACTCAAGGGGCCAAAGAGCCACATGTGGCTCACGAGCCGCAGTTTGCCGACCACTGACCTAGGAGACATAGCAGGGCTTTGTAATAATAAAGCCCCCAGTATGGCTGTGAAATGGTGATAGAAAAGAGGAAACTTTGGCAAAATGGACAAGTGAAATCAAAATAGTTGGTTGGCCATCAACATTAATTCTGTAGTTTTATGCTTTTGTAAAATTAAACCCTTATAATAAAATTATAGTATCTAGTGACAGGGGGTATTAGTCTTGAATGTACCATTAAATCAAATCTGGACTATTTCCATGAGTCAAATACGAGTTAAAACTCAAAGATATCCAGAGTAGTAGAAAAATTAGAAATTAGTTCATATAAGAAATGACTAGAGGAACTAGTTTAGTTTGGTGGGAAGATGGGGGAGTGGGGAAGGAGCCTAATGTATTTAGAAAACTGTCATGTGGGAAAGGGAGCTGCCTTATTATATGTTGATCTAAAGGGCAGATCAGAACTTGGATAGAAATTACAGGGAAGCAGATTTTGGCCTGGCAAATTGGTGGTGCTCAGAAATGAAAGTGGTTCAGGGGCTGGATGATAGAGGTTAGAAGATATTTTTGTATTGGGTGGGAGTCTGCATAAGGTGATTGTTGAGATCTCTTCTAACTTTAAGATATACATTCGTCTCTTGGTATTTGCAGGGGATTGGTTCCAGAATTTCTCCCCCCTCCCCCCCTGCCTCCCATCTCCACCCCATGGATACCGAAATCTCCAGATGCTCAAGTCCCTGATATAAAATGATGTAGTATTTGCATATAACTTACGCACAGCCTCCCTAAATCATCTCTAGGTAACTGATAATACTAGTTGTTATACTGTATTGTTTACAGAATAATGACAAGAAAAAAGTCTATGCATCTTCAGTACAGATGCAACCATCGTAGGCTTAATCACATAGGACATGTCAGCAACAACATAACTTTTTTTTTCTTAAATATTTTTTATCCTGGTTGGTTGAATCTATGGGTGCAGAAGTTAGGCTGTAATTTTAAATCATCAGGAATGATGAGAGAGCCCCAACAAAGAAGAATGTAAATGAGGTATAAAAATAGTAATTTTCTAAAATACCCTGAAAACCTAAGCAAGGAACCAAAGTGCAGAGTTCAGTAACAAGAATAGTACACAGCTGAGTTTTGATATAGTACTACAAGAGCCAGTAGCATAAATAAACCAATACTTATTGAATGATTGCTATGGGCCAGGAAGGATTTTAAGGGCTTTATATGTAATCCTTTGTAATTTTCAGAGTTAGGTTCTATTGTTTTTCTCATTTTATGGATGAGAAAACTCAGTTACGGAGTTATCAAATAACTTACTCAGGGTCACACAGTAAGTGTTAGAATTGGGATCCAAACCCAGTGAGTCTGACTCCATGGCATATGCTGTTAGTTAGAAACCATAAGTGGGGTAGTTTGGTATAGCTAAAGGGTAAAATGCTAAAGGTGAAAATGAAAATGATTCCAGAAAGTTAAGAAGCTGCCAGATTGACACATCTTTTATGCCATGAAAATTGGAAGCCAGGTCTGGGGTTAGGAATAGATTAGGACTAGAGATGTAGGAACTAGCACGGGGAAAGCATTTAAAGCTACTTAATAGTTGAGACTATCCCTGTTGAGTGGAAAGGCTGCTGATAAAAGTCAGCATTTGAAAGATGGGCAGAAGACAAGGAGGCAAAGGAAATTTAGTGGCCAAAAAAAGAAATAAGGAAATAAGAGGACAAGCAGGAGAGTGTAGTGTGAAACTAGACGAAAGAAGTATTGTAGGAGGTCAAACAATGACAGGTGCGGCTGAACGGGTTAGTCAGTTTATTTTTGAGTAATATTTTTGATCATTTGAATCTTTAATCTTGGATATCTGTACAAAGCGTGTGTTGAAACCTATTTACTTAAGAGACTTATTGGTCATTTAAGAGCTGCTACTCCAACACTTCCTACAACATTATTTGAATGCTCAGTATGCCCTCAATAAAAACATGAATAAATTCACGAATGTGTTTTTCAAAATATTAAATAATCCTGGAAAATAATTTCCTCTTAATAGGTTTTTCTTCTGAATTTATCTCCTTTGTATGAATGTGTGACATCTATGTTTATATGTGATTCAGAACTTGAACTTTGCTCTCACCTGACTTTGTGTATCTTTTACTGCAGTGAGTGATGGATTGGAACTGAGACCGAAATATAAAGGAATTGTGCATTGCTTGACTACCATTTGGAAACTTGAAGGATTACGGGGACTTTACCAAGGAGTCACCCCAAATGTGTGGGGTGCAGGTTTATCCTGGGGACTCTACTTTTTCTTGTGAGTAGATCTATATCAGTTAATAAAGCAAGATGAGTCACTTAATCAGTTTCTCTGAATTAAAAGTGTCAGAAAGAACAGAATGGCTTATTTCATTCTCTGTTAGCTCTAGCTAACGGAGGCATTTGGTCTGGAAGAAAGTTCTTAACAGGAAGAAGGCAAAGAGATGAAATGGAGAAACACTCTTATAAAAGCCATTTCTGTGAGATGAATTCAGGAAAATGGCTTACCAAAATACATTATGATTCATAATGAAGCTGGAAGAGCAGAAGAGAACAGATCTTGGGACTCCTGTAGGAACACACACCACAGGAAAGTCCTGCTGAAAATAGAAAGCAAAAGCCAGTGCTTAGCTGAAAGAGTTTGAGGCGTGTTCCTTCTTACCTCGTATTTGACCCACTTCGTCATCTTCCCAGCTCATTCATTTCCTTTATCCTTAGCCTGTAAGATATCATCACATGTGAAATAACTGCTATTGCATGCTTGCTGACGAAGCCACAGCAAGCGCCTGTGGCAGCACATGCAGCCTGTTGAGTGTAGGAGAGCATGGGCACAAAGCATCATCTCCCTGCAAAATAAAATTCAACTTTAGTATTGTTGAAGTATTTTTTATCTTTGGTTCTAAGACATACTTAGAAGAGTGAAACTATATGTATAAAATTCATGCTATTAGGAATTTCAGAGTTGTGTAGGTTCTCCAAAGAGAGTTTCTAAGAACAAGCCATGGAAGGTTTATCTGTTGAAACAGTGTACGTGTTTCACGTTAGAATGGTATGTTAACACTTGGAGAGATTTATTTCGCTGAAATCTTTTTTCAAGAGAAAGTGGAAATCAGAGTTAGAGCAAATAGGCTGACTTGACTCCCCTGCTCAGGAACATGTTAGTGGCTTTCTATTTTCTGCCAAATAAAGCCCAAATGTCAGCCTGCCACTCTCACGTGGCTCAGTTTTCCCTGACTCCCCAGTCACCTTTATTATGACTTCTGCTCATGCTCATCTATTTCCCTATTGCGACTATACCTGTCTCCATACTCAGCCAATGCCACTTTCTACACAAAGCTTTCTGTGATCTCAGTAATAGTTTCTCAATCTCTTAGGATACTGTCTGTGTTATCTTTTATTATGATTATTTATGTGCTGCCGCCTATGGTCCTTGTTAGTCTGTTAGGAAGGATCCATTAAGAGTTTATCTTTATCTACTAGACTTGCCAACCACAGCACCTGAACACAGATGTTTAGCACATATTTGTTAGGTGCCTTTTGTGGTCTCTTTTATCTTGTCTGCCCAATCACTGACCACCTCTGTACCTACCCCCTCCTGGTTTTCCCTGTCGTTTTTATTAATTAAAGAGTGTATCATTAAAATATTTTATATATATATTGCTACTCATATATATTTGGGGAAAGGAGAGGCATAATCTTAATAGTAAACCATTCCAGTAAATTCATTCTTGAAAAAGGTCGCATTTTGTGGCTGCATTATTCCTTGACTTACTTTTGAGGCATTATTGTTAAGTTACATGCCATTTTATTTTCTTATTTATTACTAGGGGCCCAGAGCACGAAGATTTGTGCAGGGGGGTGGGTTCCTCAGCCCGACCTGCACCCTCTCCAATCTGGGAGCCCTTTCCAATCTAGGAGTTTCTGTCTTTGCAATCATATGAGCGAATTGTCTGAGACCCCCCAACCCAGTTTGGTTTGTTGCTCACAGAATAATAGAGGCCTTTTTTTTTTCTTTGCTTCATTGGTGGAGATTTCCTGGAAGTTTTAGGATATCTTCCCTTTAATTTTTCCTAGACACTCTGATTTTACTTATGTCTCTCACCTTTGCTTTCCCTCCATCCCCCACCGCAACAGGAACTTGCTCCAGGCTCACTTTGCTCTGGTGCAGTGGTTCTCAACTTTGTGGCCCTTTAAATACAGTTCCTCATGTTGTGACCCAACCATAAAATTATTTTCATTGCTACCTCATAACTGTAATGTTGCTACTGTTATGAATTGTAATGTAAATATCTGATATGCAGGATGGTCTTAGGCGACCCCTGTGACAGGGTTGTTCGACCACCAAAGCAGTCGCGACCCACAGATTGAGAACCGCTGCTCTAGTGTCTAGGACCATGGTCCGCAAACTGCGGCTCGCAAGCCACATGCGGCTCTTTGGCCCCTTGAGTGTGGTTCTTCCTAAGCCTTAGGAGTACCCTAATTAAGTTAATAACAGTGTACCTACCTATATAGTTTAAGTTTAAAAAATTTGGCTCTCAAAAGAAATTTCAGTTGTTGTACTGTTGATATTTGGCTCTGTTGACTAATGAGTTTGCCGACCACTGGTCTAGGAGATCCATCTGCCACCAGAACTACGATTCCCAGCATTCCTGGTGCTCCCCGTGCTCTGCGCTTCCACTTCCGGTCCTGGTGCTGCCACCAGAACGACTATTCCCAGAATTCCTGGTGCTCCCCATGCTCTTGGTTTTCCCTTCCTGCTCTGTCTCTGTCCCATGGCCTCCCACTCTGTCAAGTCCTCCAAGCCACCAGCTCTCCCTCTCTGCTCTCTGTCTGGCAGCTTGGGGAGCCAATTCCCAGAGCCGCTCCACTCCCCACTGGCTCTCCTGCTCTGCTGTCTGCCTGGCACCTATGTATGCAAATTAACCTGCTTCTTCAGCAGGTTAATTTGCATACTCACTCCTGATTGGCTGATGAGCGTAGCAGAGGGACAGTCAATTTTCATGTTTCTCTTTTATTATATAGGATTATTATTTTGTTGTTGTTAATCCTCGTCTGAGGATATTTTTTCCATTGATTTCTAGCAGAGTGGGAGGGCGGGGGAGAGAGAGAGAGAGAGAAACATCGATATGAGAGAGACACATCGATTGGTTGCCTTTCACAAAGTCCCGGGATGGAGCCTGCAACCGAGGTATATGCTTTTGATTTGAATCGAACCCAGGACCCTTCAGTTCATGGGCCAGTGCTCCAACCACTGAGCAAACTGACTAGGACCACACCACTTTAAAACAGACTTGACTGCTTTGTGACACCTACTGAAATATTTATTAAACTGCTTATGTTTTATTCTTTTAGTTACAATGCCATCAAATCATACAGGACAGAAGGAAGAGCTGAAAGGTTAGAGGCAACAGAATACCTTGTCTCAGCTGCCCAAGCTGGTAAGACAGTGTAAAATTTAAAATGTCATATTTTCACTATTATTTTATTTGCCTTTTTACCTTTGAACACCAGAGTTTAAATGTGCTTATCTAACTATACTAATCAGTGATCACATGAAATTTCTTAAAAAGCAGGTATTCTTATTGATTACTCTGGATCCGCGGTTCTCAACCTGTGGGTCGTGACCCCTTTGGCGGTCGAACGACCCTTTCACAAGGGTCACCTAAGACCAGCCTGCATATCAGATATTTACATTACGATTCATAACAGTAGCAAACTTACAGTTATGAAGTAGCAACGAAAATAATTTTGTGGTTGGGTCACAACATGAGGAACTGTATTTAAAGGGCCAGAAGGTTGAGAACCACTGCTCTGGATAGATTCCAAAGGTTTTACTTGTCACAGGGTAGTAAACCTTAGAAAAAGTATAACTCTCTAATAGTTTAAAATTATTCCATATAGTGTTTCTTCAGTTGAAGTATAATTTCACTTTTCAAATTATATAATTTAGTAGCCTTGTTTAATTGCCTCATGTGTGTATAATGCCTGTATGCTAAGTAATCATATTCTAATTTGCTTTTAGGAGCCATGACTCTCTGCATTACAAACCCATTATGGGTAGCAAAAACTCGCCTTATGTTACAGTACGATAGTGTTGTTAACGCCCACCAGCGGCAATATAAAGGAATGTTTGATACACTTCTGAAAATATATAAGTATGAAGGTGTGCGTGGATTGTATAAGGTAATGAATTATTATCAATATATTTTTAATAATTGACCATTGCAATTTCCCTTGGCTCTACTGTCCAAGTTCTGAATGAGCTGTAGTTAGTTCTAAAAAGAAGCCAAACTTAGGCACGAAACAATATAATGGGAAGTGAAATATAGTTTACAGTATTGGAATTGTACTTTAAGCTGTGTGTCCCCATTACCTAAGATGTATTATCATAACAGGGGTGGGTGTGAGAATGAGAACTGTCTAAAACGTTGTCGAGTAACCATTTCACATAAGTCACACACTGAGGTCACCCATTCCTTACTCCCCTCCCTGGAAGCTGTGGTGTTTGGGAATTAGCTTAGTTTAGCTTTTCTTGGTTGTTTTTTTTTATTTTGTTTTAGGGGTTTGTTCCTGGGCTGTTTGGAACATCACATGGTGCCCTTCAGTTTATGGCATATGAATTGTTGAAGTTGAAATACAATCAGCACATCAATAGATTACCAGAAGCCCAGTTGGTAAGATGATTCCTGAAAAAATGTAATATTTACTTTTATGGGCATATAATAGATGGAAATGTTGTTGTGTTTACTTTGGAAGTATTGTTGTGATGATGAGTACTGACTCTGCCACTAATTTAACTTATAGTTAAATATTTTATAGGCTAATGACACACAAATGTTAAATATAGAACCCCTTAGCCCTAGCCGGTTTGGCTCAGTGGATAGAGCATCGGCCGAGGACTGAAGGGTCCCAAGTTTGATTCAGGTCAAGGGCACATGCCCGGTTGCGGGCTGGATTCCCAGTAGGGGGCGTATAGGATGCAGTCAGTCAATGATTCTCTCATCATTGATGTGTATCTCTCTCTCTCTCCCTTCCTCTCTGAAAGCAATAGAAAAATAGATTAAAAAAATAGAAACCCTTAATTGCTCAAAACTTGTGTTAAGAGGGGAAATAGTATTTTTCACTTCAGATCTACTTAAATGTTTGTTTTCCTGTATAATTTATATGTTTATGTTTTTAAAGAAATCCTGTCCAAAGAAAGACACTTGTTTTGTGTTGTCATTTTAGAGCACAGTAGAATATATATCTGTTGCAGCACTATCCAAAATATTTGCTGTAGCAGCAACGTACCCATATCAAGTTGTGAGAGCTCGTCTTCAGGATCAGCACATGTCTTACAAGGGTGTGTTGGATGTTATCACAAGGACGTGGAGGTAAGAGCATGTGATGTATCAAAAGGGCTCTTAGGAAGTACCTTGCAAATCAAACTGTCCAGTTGACATAGTTTTATAGCAAAGGCCAGTATGCTGTGGTGAGCACGTGGCTGGTGGCCCCTGCTTTCCCACTTCCCATTTACTGCATATAGGAGCATGGACTTAATCTCTCTAAGGCTTGATTTGTAAAATTAGAACATCTAGACTGACAAGGTGATTATAAAAATCAGAAGAGATCTGTGAAAGTGCTTTGACAAATAAAACAAAATTTAGATGTTATAAAATATTTGAATGGCCTATATTCAAGGAAGTCTTAAAAGACTTGGTTTAATACAGTTAAGAAGGCCCCACACCTGCTATGGGCACCATAACTTTTGCAAAAATAATAGGTCCTCGAATAACCTTGTTTCATTATAATGTCAATGAGATGCCATAGGACCTTAGTTCTTGTTTAATATCAATTAGCCTATGGTAAAATTGGTTTTGTTATATGTCATCTCACTTAAAGTCGCAGCACCTATTGACTACATTAAATGAGGGCTTATTGCACTAGTCTCCATGTATGGGAGAAATGCTTGTTCTTTGGCATGGGAATAGTTAGACTGTTATAGACATCCTCATAGTCACCTTCTAAAAGGCCAGAGCAGAATATTTAACATGTTTAAATTAAGTTCAATTTAGTAAATATTTATCAAGAATCTAAGTGACAAGATCCAAGGCCATATTCCTACTTTAGGCAGTAAGGACATAAAGTTTTATTTTGGTATATGCTATATTTACTGTTGTCTTGCATTTATATAATATAGGAGGTTTTTAATGCCTACATTAGATCAGATAATACTCCTACATGTTATACCTTTAAAGGCATTTGAAAGATGGTTATCGTTAAAGCACATTTCAGTGAAGTTTTGAGGTGTCCCTGTCCTCTCTTCCTCAGCCAGCCCATAAAAGGAATGTAACCCCTACAAATGGCTCACAAACTACATTATTGCAGGGTGTTGAAACATGGACTTATATCGCAGTGAGGTTTGATTGCTGGCTCCATGCCCCAGGTCAGTTAAGCTTTTTATCTGCAGCCTACCTATATCAGAAACTAAGCATGTTTCTATTTTTCCCTCTAAAGGAAAGAAGGCATCGGTGGCTTTTACAAAGGAATTGCTCCCAATTTGATTAGAGTGACTCCAGCCTGCTGTATTACCTTTGTGGTATATGAAAATGTGTCACATTTTTTATTTGACCTTAGAGAAGAGAAGAAGTAAGCAAAAAGAGATAAGTGCAGGACACCTGCCCGGGCAGCAGTATGCTCCTTTGTGTTTGATGTAAAGCTCATAAACAAATTGGTCTGTAATCATTAGAAGTCAAGAAACCACTAATCTTCACAATGTTTTTCTGCTTTTTGCCTTCCCCATGTATGTGGGACTCGGCTACCTCTGCCTGAACTGTCTGCCATTATCACAGCAGTAAAGCTGACATCAGTGGAGTTTCACAAATTTCTCCACTGTTCAAGTAGAAGCTGTTTTGCAGCATTTGCTAAATGGATTAGATGAATGTCCTTTTTCTACTCATTTGCCTGGATTAGCTTTAAAATTGACCTCTGTAATAGCAAGAAAATAGCTTCTTGTAAGAATGTCATCACTGTTTCATGAGTAGATTAAACTTTGAGGATTTGATGGGAAAGATATTGCACAAATCCAGACCATTTCAGAATTGAGAAATTTTGGTGAGAAAAACAAAATTGCTGTACATGCGCTTTAGTTCAGTTGGAATATATGAACTAGAGAAATTTGAGAAGTTATGTACTTCTCCCAGTTTGAGAAATATCTGACATCTGTTGTCATTCCATCACTGATTTTATTTCCAGAGGTTCTTAATTTAAAATGTAATCCTGGATCCCACTATTTTTTGGCCTGGGTACCTACTGTATTTTAAATTTTAAAAATCAACTGGAATCCAGATGTGTCAGCCCTTATTTAGCATACAGATCACTTACTGGAGTTGCAAATAGATCAACTTATATTGATACTGGAATCACTGGGATGTGTTTGTTGACAACTGCATATAGCTGAGAAACTTTCATTTCCTACTTCAGTTTTGTATAAATGGGTCCAGATCTCAAATAAATGACTAATCTACATTGGTTATTTAAATTCAGGTTCAAGTACAAGTTACATTAATGGTCATTATTGGTTTTACTTTATGAGTCATTGTAAATATCTATAAATATAAAGTTCTGCCCCAAAAGGATGCCAGAATAATGCTAATATTTTTATTTATCATAAATACCCATGACGGCTATTGCACTACCATCTATTTGTTGTAAATAAAATATTGTGGTTTTGAAAGCCATATTTAAATAGTTCTTTGAAAATAAGTCTATTTTTTTATATTTTGAAAATGGCATTGTTTTAAAAATAAAGGTGAAATGATAAGTACCTAATTACATGTACTATAATTTCTTGTAACATGCCCAGGAATACTTTATAAATTAAATGTGATGTATTTTTTCATACTCTGATTATACTATAATTCATATGAAATCCTGACATTGGTCACTATATGGAAAGACAAGCTGCAGTTGATATTTGGAGTTTTAGAGGTAGTGTCATTATTTGAATGCCTCCTATGTACCCCAAATTAATAAAACATAGTTTCTGTCCTTTAAGATCATATATGCTTGCAGAATAAATAAATAAACAGTTCTTAGTTAAGAATATGCAAGAAGATTTTTACAAAGCCCTGTAAGAGTTCTGAGACAAGAACTCATTTCCCTTCAACACATAGTTACTGCGCTTCTGCCCTGTACCAGGTATGTTACCAGCATTGAGGATATAGCAGTAAATAAGCCAGACAACTTTCCTGCCCTCAGGGAACTTTCATTTTATTATGAATGCTAAAAACATACAAATATAAGCATCATAATTTCAGGTATTACATGCTGTAATAAAACTAAAGCAGGGTTATAAATAGTGTTGCTTTATTAAGATGATTGGGGCCAGGAAAGTTCTCTTTGAGGATGTAATTGAAACATCCTTTATAATAAAAGCATAATATGGTGGAATGACCAGTCGGTGAGGGGTGGGGCTGGCAAGCAGATGGCGCCAGGCCAGCCAAGGCGCATGCCAACAGGCAGAGGGAGGGGATGGGGTTGGGGGAGAGGTGCCAGCGACCAGCGGCAGCAAAGGAGCAAGGGCTGGGGGTGGGGGGGCCATGCCAGCTGGCGCCATCCCCTGATCAGCCGCCTGGTTGCCTCCTGCAGAGGGAGGCCAGCAGCAGCGGGGTGATGGGGGCGGCACCGTCCCCTGATTGGCCTGCCTGGTTGCCTCCCACAGAGGGAGGCCAGACTGCAGTAGCACAGTAGGACATCCCCTAAGGGCCCCTGGACTGTGAGAGGGTGCAGACCGGGCTGAGGGACCCCCCACCCTGAGTTCACAAATTTCATATATATATATATATATGTAAAAGGCTAATATGCAAAGTGTCCCCTTGGGAGTTTGACCGGGAGACCAGGAGTTCGATCGCTTGCTATGACATGCGCTGACCACCATGGGGTGGCGCAGAATGAAGGAAGGCCCTGGCCAGCAGCCAGAAGGCCCCGATCGGCCCTGATCACTGTCCAGGCCTAGGGACCCTACCCGAGCACAAATTTCATGCACTGGCCTCTAGTTTTTACATAACTGAGGAAGTAAGCCACAATGAGAGGAAAAACACTAATAGAAAAAAGGAAGTTCAAAGGTTCTGAGGCAGGAATTAACTTGGGTAGAGGGAATGAGTGGCCAGAAGATGTTGGACAGGTGGCCATTACAGTATGGTGAAAAAGTGCAGGTTCAGGAGCCAGACTGGCTTCAAATTTCAGCTTTCCCTTAGGCCAGTGGTTGGCAAACTCATTAGTCAACAGAGACAAAAATCAACAGTACGATTGAAATTTCTTTTGAGAGCCAAATTTTTTAAACTTAAACTATATAGGTAGGTACATTGTTATTAACTTAATTAGGGTACTCCTAAGCTGGCCTTTGCTAAAAAACATCCTCAATCTGATTGAGGTACATTCGCTGAGGTCGACCCCTTCCAACTCTCCCATCCACACTCGTCTTGTATACTTGTTTCAGATAGAGGAGTGTGGATGGGAGAGTTGGAAGGGGTCGACCTCAGCGAAGGTACCTCAAAACAGTGTACCTCCCCCGCGCTGCGTATCCCGCGGCCCGCCCACCTGGGCTGCGTCTCCCGTCACCCGACCAACTGACACCCCCCCACTTCTTCTAACACCACTTCAAAATAGACTCGCCCAGGCCGAAAACCGACTTCTGTGCATGGGCCACGAAGTTTCAATCGCACTGTGCGTGCGCGCCCGCACGTGGTATTTTGCAGAAGAGCCACACTCAAGGGGCCAAAGAGCCGCATGTGGCTCACGAGCCGCAGTTTGCCGACCACGGCCTTAGGCAAATAATTTTACTTCTGTTCATCTCGAGTTTTCTCATCTGTAAAATGTGTCTTAGATCAGTTCCTTCATAGCAACACCTGAGCTGGGGATTCTTGGGCAGGTGACTTACTTATTGAGGGAGTGCTCTTAGGGAAAATCTGTAATGGAATAAAGAAAACAGGATCCGGTAGGGGAAGAAGAGGTTTCTGAATTCCAGCCACAGCCTGACCCTATAGTGTATTCTGCAGTATGGATTGGATCCCATAGGTTGTCCTGCCCAGAGTTGAGGGGCTGAGCTATTAGGCTCCCACATCAGGCAGTCATTACTGCCTGCAGTGCGGGGAGGAGGAGCAGGAGGGGTAGCTAGGTGCCTCTGCTCAGCTAAGGGCAAGTCTCCAAATAAGGTGAGGTATGAGCTGTTAGCAGCCAACACCTGTTGCCGCTGGGCTATGGGTGCACCAGCCCTGTAAAAGGGGTCTGGGTGGGCCATCAACAGAATCTACCACAAATGAGGATATTAAAAATACATAGGCATAATTAATGCTCAATTAATATTTGGCAAAGGAGGCAAGAGCATACAATGGAGTAAAGACAGACTCTTCAATAAAAGATGTTGGGAAAATTGGACAGATAAATGCAAAAAAAAGGAAACTAGACCACCAATTTACACCATACACAAGAATAAACTCAAAATGGATAAACGACTTAAATCAGCGGTTCTCAACCTGTGGGTCGCGACCCCTTTGGCGGTCGAACGACCCTGTCACAGGGGTCGCCTAAGACCATCCTGCATGTCAGATACTTACATTACGATTCATAACAGTAGCAACATTACAGTTAAGAAGTAGCAACGAAAATAATTTTATGGTTGGGTCACAACATGAGGGACTGTATTTAAAGGACCAGAAGGTTGAGAACCACTGACTTAAATGTAAGTCGTGAAACCATAAGAATCTTAGAGAAATCATAGGCACCAAAATCTCAGACATCTCTTCATAGCAATGCTGACCAATACATCTCCCAGCGGTTCGCAACCTGTGGGTCGTGACCATCAGAAAACACATATAGCATATCAGATATTTAAATTACGATTCATAACTAGCAAAATTACAGTTATGAAGTAGCAATGAAAATAATTTTATGGTTGGGGGTCACCACAACATGAGGAACTGTATTAAAGGGTCGTGGCATTAGGAAGGTTGAGAACCACTGTTAGGGCAAAGGAAATTAGGGAGAAAATAAATAAATGGTACTATATCAAAAGTTTCTGCACCGCAAAAGAAATTATTAACAAAATGAAAAGAGAGCCCATTGCATGGGAGGACATATTTGCCAATGATATATCTGATAAAGGGTGAATTTCCAGAATATATAAGAAACTCATACAACTTAACAAAAGGAAGACAATCCAATTAAAAAATGGGCAAAGGACGTAAATAGACACTTCTCCAAAGTGGATATACAAATGGCCAAGAGACATGAAAAAAATGTTCAAAGTCACTAATCATCAGAGAGATGCAATTTAAAATGACAATGAGGTACCATCTCACACCTGTCAGAATGGCTACCATCAACAAATCAACAAAGGACAAATGCTGGCAAGGATGTGGAGCAAAGGGAACCCTCGTGCACTGCTGGTGGGAATGCAGACTGGTGCAGCCCCTGTGAAAAGGAGTATGGAGTTTCCTCAAAAAATTAAAAATGGAACTGTCATTTGACCCAGTGATCCCACTTCTAGGAATGCATCCTAAGAAACCCAAAACACCAATCAGCAATTTACAATAGCTAAGATTTAGAAATAGCCCAAGTGCCCAACAGTAGGTGACTGGATAAAAAAGCTGTAGTACATTTACCCAATGGAGTACTACAAGGCAGTAAAAAAAGAAGATCTCTTACCATTTGCAACAGCAGGGAGGAGAGTATGATGCTAAGTGAAATAAGCCAGTCAGAGAAAGACAAGTATCACATGATCTCACTCATATGTGGAATCTAATGAACAAAAGAAACTTTTGAACAAAATAGATCCAGAGACACAGAAGCATGGAACAGAAGCATGACAAATTTCAGGAGGAAGGCGGGGTGGGTGGGGAGAGGTAACCAGGGAATGTATACGCATATGTGCATAGCGCATGGACTCAGACAATAGTGTGTTGTTAAGGCCTCAAAGGGGCGGGGGCAGGGTAGAGAGGGTCAATGGAGGGAAAAACAACACTTTCAACAATAAAGATTAAAAAAAAATTGGGAAAAGTACATAGGTTTAGGGTTACGGACAGGATTAAATGGATTAATCCAAGTGCTGGGCTGGTAAACATTAGCAGGGGCCAGACCTTACAGGCCATGGTAAGGGGTTTAGGTTGCATTAGAGCTCATTGTGGTGTCTGTGTGGAGAAACTACTAGGAGACAGGCAAGAAGCAGGGTACTAGTCAGGCTAGTTAGGAATCTGGTGGTAGTGTGGACCTGGCTGATGGCATTGGAGGTAGTTTATAGCCTGGAGGGACGAGAATAGGATTTATGGAGGAGAAAATATTTAAGCTGGGCCTTGACATAGTTCAAAGGGAACCTTGGAACCATGGGAAAGAAGCACAGGTGACATGTCTTGAGCAGTGAGTTGACACCAAGGTAATGAAATGGTAGACAAAGCTGAAAGATTGGGACCCAAACAGGAGAACTCTCAGAGCTTTATTAAACCTGTTTGGGTTTTTTGGTGGATAAAAGTGAGAAAAATTAATGGAACAGAGAGATATGGCTACATTTTAGGGGTGACAAAGGAAGGCCAATCAGATGGGAGGAGCACACTCAGAAAGAAGGGGTTATCAACCATGTACATGTTCCATATAAGCTTAAGCTTTAACCACCCAGAAAAAGGATTGTAAGTCACATTATATGAGATTCTGGGTCAGTTCTCACCCCTAGCACACGTACCTCTGTAGTTTCAATTGGGTGAACCATTAAATGTCCCTTTACTTTGTAAAGCAGACTCAGTTGGGTTTTTCCATTACTTATTGCAACCAAAAGCTCCCTATGTGACAGAGAATCTGGGGCAGAGACCCTACAGTCGGCCACTTCCCCATCCATCATGATGCTGGACAGCTCTTGATTCTGTGGAAATTGATGTCACCTTTATTCAAAGTGAGACTTTGGGATCCTTACATATGTTGTGTAGGTGCTTTAGAATGTTTTTAGTTTTATAGGAAAACGTTATGTTACTTAATATTTATGGAAATTAAAAATTATTCAAGTCACC